GGACACAGATTCTCTTATTCGATATTTCGTCCACAAAATAATAATGTGCACTCTATAAAACGTGATACTGTTTCCACAACACACATGTAGTGAATATGCACTCTATAAAACATGATATTGTGTGCACAACCTGGTACATGTATATGTGTACTCTACAGAACGTGATATTAAGTCCTCAAAAAACTACATGCCCACTCTGTAAAAACGTGATATTGTGTCCACTCCATAGTGCACTGTTACAAAGTGAAATGTAAAAACAACGCAAAATGTAATAAACCGGGATAATTGAATTTTGCGTTATTAAATTTTGCGTCGATATCAACGCAGAATGTGATAACACAAAATGTAAAAACGTCCTTTTAAGGATATTTACATTTTGCGTTATTACATTTTGCGTCGAGATCAGCGCAAAATGTAATAACGCAAGATGTAATAACACGATTTTTAGAATATTACATTTTGCGTCGAGATTAAGCAAAATGCAACAACGCGAAATGTAAGAATACACTTTTTGGTCAGTCAGGTTGAGAATAATTTTCAATTGAGTAGTAGTTCACGAGAAGAAAATAAAACAAAAGGAAAAATAAACATATGCTCGTTCTTACATTAGATCTTATTTCATCATATATTGATTTCGCCAGCCATATAACATCAGTTGATATTCAAATCATAGGTGTTGCAAATTAGAAACGTGTCTGCGCACGTGTGTGTGGGTGGGGTGGTTTAATTTCGTTGATCAGTATATCAGTTTGCTTTTGCTTTTTGATAGGCACATGCATGAAATTAAGAAAAGAAAAAAAATCTATTTATTTTTATTGGCAGGTGTAAATATTGTGGGGAGGGGGGGGGGGATCTCTTGACAATTAAGATTTCATACTGTTTTACAAATCACGTGCATGGCAGACCAGCAAAAATAAAATTCTATCTCTCTCTCTACAATAATAAAATGGATAGTTTCTGCATACGCTTAAAAATACAATGATCAACATACGAAGTAACCCTCCACCTCACGCTTCTACTCGCCAGACACACGTCACACAGGTACACTTCTAATTTGCTAACCAATGTACACATGTACGTTGTACATGCATACCAAGAGTTTTAATGGACCAATGGCCAATCTTTGGTAATTGAGAATGTCAGTGATGGATATATAATACAGACTGATTTATAAAAAGACATGTCAATCAAAGTTAAATTAATGTTTTATAAGTATTCAATAAAAATGTTAGAAAGAGAGTTGGAAAAAATATACAATTAGATTTAATAATGTCCGTACGTTTGCCTTATAGTCATAGGTATGTCAGTCTATTTAGTTAAGCAAGTTTCCCCATTGTTATATGTTTAAATCAATTTTGTAATGTTTTGCGTTGAACACAATACAAAAAATAATTATGTTTTGTTTTATTACATATTTGTTTTATTACATTTTGAGTTGTCCTCAACGCAAAAATTAAGTAACGCAAAATGTAACAACCTAAAAGTGCATTATTACATTTTGCGTTAATCCAACGCAAAATGTAATAATCCAAAAATCGTGTTATTACATTTTTTTGCGTTATTACATTCTGTGTTGATCTCGATGGACAGTGTTATAACGCAAAATGTGAAAATTCCAGTTTATTACATTTTGCGTTGTTATTACAATTCGCGTTGTATCAGTGCACTTTATAAAACCGGCACTCTCCGACATTGTATCAACTATCAATGCATTTTATATTTCAGTTGCAAATATGTAAATGCACAAAGCACATATGTTTGTCAACGATTCCTTCTAACCTTAAAATGAGTGGGAAAAAATTAGAACCAATTCTTTACAAATCGCATAGTGTATACAACTTGGATTTCCCTCATTGTTTTGGCGTTATCTATATCAATATCTGTTTCTCCTGTTGGAATTTGTGTGTTTCTGTCTCTGTAATAGTGTCCACAAAATTCCTTTTCATCTGCACAAAGCACAACCATATCTTGGTCTCTTTGAGGTATGATAGTTTTAAATATTGCCTTTTAAGCAATAATTTTATCAATGAATGTATTTTTCTTTCTTTTTTTCCCTAAATCTATCATCATTATATGTCCCGGTAAAGAACAGAAAAGTTATAATTATATTAATTGGCAATTGTCCGTGCAGAAATTACACTCTCTTACGCGTATCCGCAGGTGGTCTTGGCTGTTGAAAATGCCTCACTTCCTCTCTTTATCGCACTTCATTAATGTGTTATTATCTCCTACCTTATTAAGAAAAAGCTAATTACAGCAAAGTACGGTATATGTGCAGTGAGCACAAATATTACAACGAACACGTCATTAAAACAAACCAAAATCGTTAACGTTGAAGTTGGAATAGTTTAAAATTCTCCGACAGTTCTACAGGAAACAAACTTCTTTTTTTTAAATCAAAAATGTATCTTTTCTATTTGGTTCCTTTGCATTGTGACTGAGTTCTGATATGGAATTCTTTTATAGCAAACTTTTAAACCAGATAAGGATCAACAATTATTTATTCAAAAGCTAAAAGAAGACAAAAAGAAACAAGAAGCTACAGAATAAAAATACCAGATTTTATTATTCAGACTTTATATAATGTACATGTACATGTTTTCATGTAGCACAAAATTGTATGAATTCGATAGTTATACGCTTTATAATTTATCGGATTAACAGGTCTAACGATCATAAGATATTCGAAGTCATAATGAACGTACTGGTTATATAACTTTACGTATAATACAATTTCATATAAAAGCAAGCCGATTCAATTCAGAACCAACGACAACAAATTAAAAAAAAAACCAAAAAGACAAACAAACAAACCAATAAAAAACAAAAACAAAATAAGCCCATAAAATGCTTAATACATAAATGACTCGAAAATAAGTGGCACATTTAACCAAAAAAAGATAAATATTATCCCGTATTACATTTAACCAATAGCGAGACCGCCACGGTAACTCAGTCTGTAGACTCCGTAATCGGAAGGTTGTGTGTTCGAATCACGGCCGCGACTGACCTAAGTCGATAAAAAATACGTAGTAACTGTTCCTTTGCCAAGCGCTCGGCACTTAGAAGCGAAAGTTGCGGGTCTTTCGGATGAGACCTTAAAAATCGAAGCCCCGTGTCACGGTAGGCATTGGAACGATAAAGAACCCTCATTGCTCAATGGTCCTGAGTGCTGGGTAAAGGTCTAAATTTGAAGCCTTTCACCGGTATATGGTTACGTCTCTATACGAGTGAAAAATTCTCGAATGGGACATAAAACAACATTCAGAGATGTAACCATTTGCGCGCTCGTGACGCAGCGGCGTACTTGTAGTTTGTAAGCTTTACAGGTTCCTGTAAACTTTTCATATCACAGAGCTCTTTAGTGCGTTAGATAGGATTTTTTTAATGCATGTATTTACGATGCATAACTAACTTCTTGTACTAAACATATTTTCTTTAATTGCACAAGAATTTCCTTTATTTGTGAGACAACCATTTGGTTTTTGTTGTTTTTTTTTATTTATTTATTTAAAAAAAAACTAAATTGTTACTTAGTGTTTTGGCAAATTTTATATATAAGAACATTTAATATGTGTTCATAAGGATTTGAATTTGTGTACATTTCAGGTCTACTTTCACATTAAAGGATATAAACATGTACACATCTGATTTGTACACTAAACATTTTTATCCTTTACAAGAAATACTTGCTTTAAGTAATTAATTTTCTTTTTTAAGATACTGTGGTGTTACAATAAATAAACTCTTGTTGTGAATCGAAGTACAGTTCTTAAGTATTCCATCTCCCGATTTCAGTTGACAATTGTATTTAATTTTTTATTTGAAATAATTTTTATACAACACGGAAACTGATAGATGTACAGGTATATGTTATTTTCATAGTTGACATCTTTTTAATCTTTTTAATTACTAGTAGTAATACATTTTGCCACGTTACTATGATCCTGACTATATCTTTGATGGGTTTGCCCGTCTCTCTAGCTGTTTGTCTTTTAATTAAAACTTTTCCAAGACTATGAATACGTTATGTTTTATTTTCATAAAGAAACTACAAATTTAGACTTATTGATAACACTTTTTTCTATTTTTTTTTATTTTTTAAAAAACAATCCATGTCAACTAAACAAGACCTGCTAAAATTCCACTGTAATTTCATTTTTTTTTTTAAATTGAATGGAACTTGATTTAAATAAAGACTAAATGTATAGTAAGATGATTAAATTCTGCTTATCGAAGATTTTGTAGTAAAAAAAAAAAAAAGCAGAATGAAATTTAGAATTCTTCGGAATGCCATGCAGTTTTTGTCACAAGAACACGAATTCAACACTTCTCCGATAAACTGATCTGAAGGGAACAATATCGGACGATTCTTTAAAGAGCTTTACGCAATCCAATTCTCCATTCATCTTTTTAAATAGTTTTTAAGGCCTTCGTGCCGATCGAGCCTCTGATTCGGAATAGATGCTGACAAGGATCTGTGTGCAGCAAAAAGTCGCTGAATACTTCGTATGTCTGATAAGTCTAAACATATGTTTCTGTCACCCTCAACAAAGCAGGGTAAAGTCGGCAGTGAATCGTGTATTGCTGGCATAAGTTACATCGAAGAACGTGTTTCCCGTCATATCATATAAACTGTTTACATTCCGGACAGGTTGTTTCAATAGAACGGATCCGCATTCCTGCAATTTGTTTATTTGATACAGACTCCTTTCTTTTTCACGGCTAATTATGATGACAAAGCTGTTACGATCTGGCATTTGTATCGTAACAATAACGAAAAAGCAAAGTATAGGAAATGAACGACTCTAATAGCGTAATCCATAAATTGTGGATTGTAACTTACAAGAACTGAGAAGGTTTTAGTGATATTTAAAAATGATAACTTGCATTGTGAGTATCACATAGCACATTCTGCATAACACAAAGTTAGAAAAAAAAAAATGACGATATGAAGTAATAGATACATGTTCCATAACCAATATGAGGGTGTTACGTACCTTTATGCATACCAGTAAACCGGTCCTTAAGCACTGTCAATTCATAGATTTGTCCAAACTCCTCAAAAATAGGGCGCAACTCTTTCTCCTCTAGCGTGCGTGGTATTTGTCCCACAAAAAGTTTCACCGTGTCATGATTCTTGAAGGATAATCCGGACCCGGGCCCGACTCCTGCATGTATATGTGCTGGAATACTTCCGTTGGGTAAAGGCAGTTGAGCGGGTAGCTGTGAAGTGGGGATAGTTTGCCCGAGGGGCGGGTGAGGACGATGAATCAATTGGTCTGTCACTACTCCACCAACAAGAGCAGTCATCGCCATTTAAGTTCACGACAGCACACAACATATAACAATGTAAAGATAGGTGAACGTCAAAAAACACTCTGAAGAAACTTTGATCGGAAGCAAAGAGGAACCTCCAGATTTCCGATGCCTTGGGAAGTAGCCAATACCCGCGCGTGTAACAAGCGTCGATGACTACCAATCCACAGGTGTCAACAGACTCGTGATATTCCGGGAAACAGACACCAGTATTGTCCGGAAGTGAGGGGTCGACAAGTAGTGGAAACCTCAGTAAGAGCAAAGTGTCGAAGATTTCGTTATTTACTCAATTACATATTGGAGATGCATTGATTTGGCGAGATTTTGCGTAAGGCGAGATTTGACAGAGAAATCAATAGGTAGATAGGGGCTGAATAATCATATAGCGCTTTTCTGAACCTCAGATGCGGGAAACAATGGCGTAGGATAAATTGCTGGATAGCATATGTGAAGCACTTAATCGGAGTTACTGCGCCTTAACCTTAAGTTTGGAGCTTTTTCCTTTAAAGCGCATTGATAGGGGAGGACTCGAGTTAGTTTTCTTGAAAACCAGTGCAGCTGTAAATCATTTATCCTTGTGGGACGATAAGTCGTGTAATACATTGCCATGTTCTTAACGGAAGCAATGAACTATTTTCATAAAAACCAATAACGACAGCATAGAGCAGATGGATCTCTTCTCAGGTTGATAAATTTTGTGCGGTATCGACGTAACAGAGGCATTTAGTTCGTGCCCTCTTTAATCAATTAACTGAGCACAACTCGATTCAGCATCTCCTACTAGGAGACTGTAATGTCTTCCCTCAGTCACACTGTGCATATGTTTACTAGGCTGTTATTTCTGTTCTTAGACTCCCTTTTCTTATGCAGGCTTAATTCCACCTTAGATAATTAACAAACTCATTTTACATCAAAGCGGAAATTTCGCCCTACGTTGTAATTGACTTTTATAAATTACACAAGCATGCATTGTCGCCAGAACCTAAAGTATATATTTCACAGTTAACATCGCAGGATGTACGATAAATCTTCATTGATTGTCAATCGTCTTTGTCTTGTGCAAGAGAAACATTAAACATTACGTTAATTACATGTGCAAAAAGTAGAAGAAAAATCAACAGGCTCTGTTGTTTGATTTTGATCTCGGCAGCAGAAGCCATTGTTTGTTAATGTTGTCGGTTTATGGTAGGTCTGAAGAATGACAGGGACACCTTCCTGGCGAAATTCACCTTAGAAAATTTAATTGTAATCCATGAAAATTGATTTTTCATAATTCCTCTCATCAATTTAGTGGTGAGCTTATACCAAAACGCTCTCCTTGTCTCATTTCAAGCCACTTATACATTATTTCTCAATGCCATAAATTCATTAAAAGTTATTCATCGAGAAATCTAATCAAAAAGAAATATGCCCACCCCCATGTGCTTTTATCATAGTGGATCATATAATAAAGCTTGAACAGACGTAAGTCAGAAATCTCTCAGATTTTGCTCAATTTTATAATTAGCCGTAATATTTTGTTTCTGAAATTGACCACAAAATATCTCTCTAAAAAAAAAAAAGAAAGAAAGAAAATAAAGGTATACAGGTAATCACGTATTAAATTGTACAGTCAAACCTATATTAAGCCGTCACCTGCGGGAACCACCAAAACCTTTATACAGAGGTGAGCTTTGAATAGAGATTCATATTTTTTTTCAGGAAAATTCCATCCAATTTATCACGGTTCTGTGTTTTATAATATTACATCATAGACTATTAAAGACATGCATTTTCAGTGGTCTCACTATTTTTTAACTTCAGTCCCATAATGTTTGACTATTTGGTTCAAGGAAAATTTGGTGAATCCAATAAAAAATATAATTATACTGAGTCTAATACTAAATAGGGTATTGCATTACCCTATATCAAAACAAGTTTGACTGTACATGTTTGGATGTAAATAGTTTACTTATAGTACTGTTCAAAAATTAAAGCTAAATATTAAAGTTTTGGTAGACAGAGAGACAGACAGACAGAGCAACAGTGAGACAGACAGAGAGACAGTTAAACAGACAGATAGCAGTTAATAAGACAAAGAGACAGACAGAGAAATAGTCAGACAGAGAGACAGTAAGGCAGATGGAGAGACAGTCAGAAAGACAGTCGACAGAGAGACAGTCAAACAGACAGAGAAACAGTCAGACAGACAGAAAGACAGTCAGAAAGAGAGAGACAGTCAGACAGAAAGAGAAACAGACAGACAGGAAAGAGAAACAGTCAGACAGAGAGACAGTCAGATAAACAAAGAAACGGCAAAAAAAAAACAGAGAGACAGTTAATAAGACAGACATAGAAACAGTCAAACAGACAGAGAGACAGTCAGATAAAAAGACAGAGAGACAGTTCAGTTAGAGAGAGACTCAGACAGACAGAGAGAATCAGACAGACAGAAAGAGAGACAGAAAGACAGTCAGAAAGAGAGACAGAGAGATAATTCAGAGAGACAGTCAGAGAGAGTCAGACAGACAGAAAAAAAGACATTCAGAAAGACAGAGAGACAGTCAAAAAGACAGACAAAGAGATAGTCAGATAGATAGATAGATAGACAGAAAGTCAGATAAACAGGCAGAGTGACAATCAGACAGAAAGACAGTCAGAATAACAGAGAGACAGTCAAACAAACCGAGAGACAGAGACACAGTCAGTCAGACAGACAGAGACAGTCAATCAGAAAGACAGTCAGAGAGACAGTCAGTCAGACAGACAGACTATCTTAGACAGACAGAGAAAGTCAGACAGAGAAAGTCAGACAGACAGAAAGACAGAGAGACACTCAGACAGGCAGAGAGACAGTTTAACAGACAGAGACGGTTAATAAGACAAAGAGACAGACAGACAGACAGAGAGACAGCTAAACAGACAGTCAGACAGACAGAGAGACAGTTAGACAGATATACGGAAAATCTGACAGACAGAGAGGCAGTTAGACAGACACAAAGACAGACAGACAGGCAGAGAGACAATAAGACAGACAGAGTGACAGTCAGACAGAGTAAAAGTCAGACAGTCAGAGAGACAGACAGAGAGACAGTTATACAGACAGACAGACAGTCATAAAGACAGATAGAGAGACAGTGAGACAGACAGAGAGGCAGACACACAGACAAAAAGACAGACAGAGATAAAATCAGACAGAGAGAGAAACAGTTAGACAGACAGAGAAACAGGCAGACAGAGAGACAAACAGACAGAGAGACAGTCAGACAGACAGCCATACAGATAGATAGAAAGAGAGTGACAGTGAGACAGGCAAGGAAACAGAGACAGGCAGAGAGACAGCTAGACGGACAGAGTGACAATCAGACGGACAGAGATAGAGTAAGGCAGGCAGCTAATCAGACAAACTTTTTAAAGGTTTGAGTAATTTTCAAAAACAATTGCAAGTATACAGAAACATTCAGAAATGTCGGTAGGCCTAGAAAAAAGGTCATAAATATATTTGTTTTATCTTATACGATGTAATCTGTATTTAAAGAATATGAAAATTTTATTTTACATGTAAAGTTCAGTTTGTTTAAGATTTGGCATTAACTTAAGGGGTAAAAAGTAGTCTTTCAAATGCTATGAGTTATATTCGACTAGGTTAACAACTATTCAAATGTGTTAGAAAGGAATTATGTCTATATTGACGAGAAATTCTGCTTTAACTTTCTAAACACTTCAATAACATATGAAATATTTAAGAATCAAGATATTGAATGAACTGAATAAAGGTTAAATGAACTATAGTGCTAATTATACCAGGAACCATAACAGATGTTCGCCAAACGCCCCCACTCCCTTCTGCTGCCCCATTCCCTACAAGCTTCATTAAATTATGCAATACTTCTAATTTGTATTATAGATCTTCACATTATTTTCGAATTGTTTTATCTAAAAACAACAACGGTATAGTGTTATGGCTATTAGCCAATTAGATTTCGGGCCACGTAGATGCAGGAGGGGGAAGGGGCTTACATGTATCTTCGTATAGTGTCTTTCAAAGTATAGTTGTGTGTTAAATTTTAATGAAAAGAAGATAAAAGAATAACATCCATTAAGTAATCAGAACTCAGCACACGTGTATGTACATGTATGTCCTTGCATTCAAATTAAAAACAAAAACAAAAACCAAACCCGGAACAAAACATAACAAATTGCAGGAACACTTTGCACCTTTCTATATTTGATTCTAAATTTCGTCATGTTTTGTTGACAGCTAAAAAAAAGTTATAATAATATAGCCATATAAAGATTCAGCCAATCAAATTGCAGCATACGTTCATACGTATATTTGTATATTATATTCTAGAACCTTAAATAAGGTACATATAGTACACAGTAGATAGGCCAAATTTTTCCTCAAATTTAATTTCTTTGAAACTTTGAAATTTTGTTGTAGGATACAAAATCTCTCTTTATATGTAATTTGAAAGAAATTCAATCGAACATTTTTTTATCAGCCCCCTGTAATAAGATTGTAAAATCAGAATTGCACTTTAGAAAATATATATATATATATATATATATATATATATATATATATATATATATATATATATATATATATATATATATATATATAAATTTTTAATTACCGACCAATCTAGTGCATTTGTGTGATGCATTTTATAAATATATGTACAACCTTTCTGTTATTAAATTTCAGTAAATTATATTGATGCTGGTATATTTGAATAAAATGTGATGAAAAATAGAACATACATAGCCAAGGAATTGAAAATTCACATGTATCTTTGCTACATTTTAAGTTCTCTGAAAAGAAAATGTATTAACCAATTTTTACCAAAAAAAAAAAAAAAAAAAAAAAAAAAAAATCAATAGAATGATTGAAATGGAACCAATATTAAAATACGTCAAAATGAGGAACATTGAACACAGTTTTGGATATTTTGGTGATTTAAAAAAAAAATTCAATGCAAAAAATTAAAAGAATCAGTAGATGGCGTTACAATATTTGACCTTTAGACCCCTAAGTTTGACCTTGACTTTTGTTGTGTGTAAAGAAGGGAGGCTTCTTATAAATATGTCCAAATATCAGGTCTCTATTGAAAATGAATCAAAAGTTACTTTGCGTTTAATAACAGACTGTCATATCACATGTAGGTGGCATAAACACATTCTAAAATGACCAATACGTAGGGCTCTCTAATATTTTATAAAAATGGCGTAAAATATTAGTTTTCTTACAAAGATCATTGATTATTGACATTATAGTGATATTATTCTTTTTTTTCTGGTGTACTTAATAAGAAATGAGTTAAAACATATTTCCTGGGTGTTTTGTACTACCTTAAATACCTATATTTTAGATAAAAAAAATCATTTCGTCAAAAAACAAGGGTGTATTGATTTGGTGTCAGCCATACGTACATGCACGTGCTTTCATGCTAATCATCCATATTATCTTGACTACACCACTAATATATGTTTATAAACTGATTATTAAAATATTTCATTAAACCATAGGAACGTTAAAGCTATTTCATTTCACTTATCGCATGCACACGCATGTATGCACGCAAAATGACCTTCATTCCGCACTTCTACACAACATGTCTGTTAATTCCCATTTTTTTTTTATTTAAACCAGTAAATTCCGAGAATATTCGCGGACAAAAAAGTTCAAGAATTCTTTATTAAACAACTTTAAGCCATACGGCCCATTAGTATACACAAAATTAACATAGTTATGCACGCATAGCGAGAGTCTACGGGGGGGGGGGGGGGGGAACCCCTAGTGTCCATCTGTCCGACTCCTCAACACCAACAATTACAGTATGCATTAAACTCTCCATTATACTAGGGAAGAAACCAAAAAAAAAAAACAACACACCATATGTTCTCAAACCAGGCGCGGATCCAGAATTTTTTTCCAGACGGGGTCCACCCCAGTCAAAAAAGAAATTCCAACCCAACAATTTCTTTACAAGAAAAAAAACCCACCTAAAATCCATTACTTAAACGTGAAAAACACCTATATCGTGGTGCTGATGATGGAGTCCATGTTTTTTTTTTTTTGGGGGGGGGGGGGGGGTCCAAAGTCTTTTTTTATTTGCTTCGGTATATACTTTTATTAACTCTGCAAATTCCGGGGGTGCGTGGGTGGGTCCGGATCCCCCCCCCCCGACCCCCTCTAGATCCGCGCATGCAAACTTCGTTTGGAGAACATAATTAAAGTGATAATCTCTTTTCAGCAGTAGAGCAAACTGGTTAAACAAGATTTTATAGGGCACGAACAACAACTCCAACCTCGTTGTAAAAATAGATCATTTATTGTGTAACAACATTTTCCTGTACCTAAATTCTGGACCAAAAATAATACTAAGATTTTTTTGATAATTGCAAGTCTTGAGTTTTTTACGCAAAATAAAAGATTAATATTGAATCGCACAATCATTCTACACTCTACCTCTCTAATTATACATGCAGAACACAAGAATTTAAGTTAACGTGATTATTCGGAGTTACTTATTTTCTCCCCTCAAGACAATGAAATTAAGTACATGTATATTTAAATTAAAAAAAGGGAGGAAAACACAAAAACTATTCTCAAAAAATAATTTATTTAAAATATAAACGTATATACTTTTAGAGTGTGTTTATTATCTTTTAAATCAGAAGGTTTAGTATATTTAAAGAGCTAGGTATATTTACACTCATCTATCACAGTCAATAACGTTTCAAGAATATTTACACTGGAATGGTTGTCCCTCGAGGCTAGCTAGGACAAACTACGACCAATAGTTTGTAAACAGTATATATTTTTTTTAACTTTGTGGGTAATCATAAACTTATTTAAGGCAAAGCTAAGGGGAATAGATATGGCTCATGGTATCCTCCCACAAATTCAGAAGTTAGGTGGGGTACATGTACATATTGATTTGTAGTTGCCAGACAATGAACAAATTACTTATTCTTGGATCTACTGTATCAACTTCATAAATACATACTTCGCATCCCTCTAAAAATGGGTTGGTTGTTTATCGCTTCATTTTTTTCTTTTGTTTTATTTGTCAAAAAAAGTCAGTGATTCAATTATATTATTAATTAAGATTTCTGAGACAGTATTTTTTTTTAAAGATTTTTAAAATTAGAGCCCAGCAAGAAATAACATAGTTGATATATTTTTTTTTAAACATAGCAGTTTTCTTAACATAAAAAAATCGACTCAAAGTACAAAAAATGACACATGTAAATAAAAACAGATGAAAACAACAAACACACTGACAAATGAAGAGTGTCCCCAGCTGACGGCGTTGGTCCATTACAGAAATCACCTTTACACATTGTGACGCAGTACGTCCCAGTGTCACCTTTACGGTCACAGTATGTCTGATTGTCCGCTCGAGGGCGCTGGACGGCTTCAAATTTGGCGGCAAAATTTACTCCATCAGTGCAGTCTCTCATGAACATATTTACTTGACCTGAATATGAGTAATTGGTAAACATTAATAATAATCCAGGCCTATAAAATAAAAATATCCATAAATGCAATTATAAATGTTTGAATAATACAATGAAAAATTTGTATTTACTTCTACTCGATGAATTTAATATTAACATGACAATACAATGCAGGGGGTGGGGGTGGGGGGTAAATTCAGGAAACATCAATCTAATAAAAACAAGAAAACAAGTAAAAACAAGATCTTTGACCCGATCTTTAATTTTTTCTATTGTCGTTACACGTTTATCGACAATAAAGAAATTTAGATACTTGTACAACTACAAGAACTGATTTCAATCAGCTTGTCATTATAACAAAAAAAAAACAACAACAACAACAACAAACAAACAAACAAACAGAACAAAACAAAACAAAAAACGGGTAATTGCATGAGAACTTGGGCCTGTTTTACAAAGAATTTTAGACTAATTTTCTTATGTTTTCCAGTTTCTATCAGTAGGCACTGGTCACTTGTTCGAAATTTAGTTAGCAATTGTCTATTCTTGAAACTATTTTCAAGCATAAGATATTGTTCCATATTGAGATTGTGTTTTATTTTACTGTACAATTATAGTTTGAAGTTTTCTGTGAATTAGATACTTTTTCCATAGTTTTGTCTTTATAATTATCTAGTACTGTTTTCTTCAAATTCTTTTTAACTGAATTTCAAATGTTGTCAAATTATTCATCTTTTTTCATATAGTGATTGCTAATTAAATTATTTTTTTTTAATATAGACAGTGCGAGGGTATGCCACGAATAAAATCCATTTCATGCAAAGACCTATTGACATTATATGATTCTTCAATCATGGGGTTTACATTCTGAGAGTTTACTCGTACAAAGGACTTGAGTTTAAATAAAAGAAGAAACTGGAAGTCTACCTAGTTCACACAATGATAAAATATCGCATGCTGTATTGTTGAGTCCTAGAAGTGTTTTACAATATCTAGCATGTACTTTTTTCATAGAGAGATTGTTCTTGTAAAGCGATTATAATCACGTGAGATGTTCTAGAAAACAAAATCTGTTTACACCATTTTTAAGTCTTTCTTTACTTTCGTCTGCTGAGATGCATTTCATAAATTATAAAATGTCGGAATTTGAAGCATGCGTCCTTTAAAGACACATTCTAAAAAAAAATGGACGAATGGATTATGTGGGGGGGGGGGTGTCTTGGGGGGGGGGGCACTTATGTGAGTTGTAATTGATGCATAAATCAAATCTCTAAAAATTTAGAAATTGTAAACTTTTTCTGATGTTCAATTTTTTTCCTTTTGCCACCACCCTTATAAATCAATACAATTTTATATCTTTACTTAGTATATTGGACATAATTGAGAAAACTCTTCACTACAAAAAACTCTATGAAATTTTATACGGCTAAACCTATTAATTTTTATTATAAAGACAGATTTATTTGTTATTTTCATAATTTTTTGTGTATCACATACCCTTAGTAAGAGTTTTAGGGCGATTAATATAGCGATAGAAATGGAGAAAATCCTTAAAAAAGAGAAGTGTAACTCACACAATATGTGAAACATCTTGTTCCAAATGATTATCGTTTGTAAATTGATCTATACATTCTTTAAAGTTTTACAATAAGAATTACAGTGTATAAAATGTACAGATATACCTCTGTATTCGTGACTTTCTATGACACAGAGTGTTTCCTGGCTACTATCAAGATACACTGTACAATTTTTAACAAACTGCTTGTACAGATCTATTTTGTCGTTGTCTACGTCAGATGTGGTAGGATCTGTGATGTACCCGGCCGCCTTCGCCATTGTTTTAATCTTTGTCTGGCAATTTCCATCCGCACTGGTATCCGCACACTGATAGCAATAATGCAATTTGGCTACAAAATGAATGCCTAGCGTGACTTTCGTTTCTCAATAAGACTATTTAACGTTTTTACGTTTTCTGTAAATTTACTCGTAGAATCTGGTTACACACAGTCAAATAAGTGTACTTACAACTGATACAGTAAACATGTCCCACCAGGAACGGACACAGGAACAACGACATTATAAGCGCCATGACGGACTCCAATTCTTCCTGGTTCACGATTCTTCTTTCGTTTCAGTCTTGGGGAACGTCCCTTCATTGACGCGTGACCGGGTGCATAATTAAACTAAGAGGCATATTTTTTCTTGTTGTGTGCATAGTGTAGATTTAAATACCCGCGCCCAATCAGGCAGGAAAAAGTAAACAGAGGGAGAGGATCCTCGATTTCTCTACTTCAGCCTTAATATATATATATATATATATATATATATATATATATATATATATATATATATATATATATATATATATATATATATAAGAGTTGTAAAATTCTTTCTTTCAAAATTTTCTTCAATTAATCTTTTGTATATTGTCAAAAAAATGAAAATTTATCATTAAATGCCAGGATGCTTGACATAAATCCAATATAATATAATTGTAAATTCGAGACATTACTGAAAAGACTTTTATGTCATTCCTGTTACCAATTTTTATTGTAAAGTGCTAATCATATATATCAATTAATTATTTTTTCATTATAGGTACTCCATGCTGTTGCATAACTAAGAAATTTTCATAATTATAGGTAAAACAAATGATAAAACAAAAATAGGAATAAACATACCACCTTTATAAGGATATTTTGTCCTTTCTGTTACAATTTTTGTCCACTCTGTTACCAAAGTGCATGTTTGTGATTGATTGATTGATTGTATGTTGTTTAACGTCCCTCTCGAGAATTTTTCACTCATATGGAGACGCCACCACTTGCCGGTGGAGAACTGCAAATTTTGTCCTATACTCGGCACTTACGGCCATTGAGCAGTGAGGGATCTTTTTCGTGCCAGCACCTACTGCGACAAGGGACCTCGGTTTATACGGTCTCATCCGAAGGACCGGTCTCCACGTCCCACAGTGGGATTCGAACCCGCGACGTAAGGATTAACTCCTTACTCCGCGACTCTAGAGCAGACGCTCTAACCACTGCGCCACTCGGGCGACGCATGTTTGTGAAGAAATGGCACTATTTGAAACAAGTAATGCAAGGTCGGGCATTGCCAAATTATTCCAGGATTTGGACAGTAAATTAGCGAGTTTTTTGTTTGCTTGTTTGTTTGTTTTTTTTTATTTATTTATTTATGTTTTTTATTTTTTTGCTTGTCAGATAATTTTGGGACCTCCCCCCTTTTGGCTAGCCCTTTTTTTTTAATTTGCTTGTCAGATATTTGGGGGGGGGGGGAGTTGTGAAGCCCCCCCATCCCCCCTTTGAAACCGTTGCTACGGGCATGATGACATTGAATCTTACTTCTCAGCCAAAAGGGAAAAAACACAGAAACTTATTAATTGCTATTTGAAATACCAATTTACTGTGATACCACGCTTCCAAAGTTGATGTTGACAATTACTTCACTTTCATGTTTTAACAATAGTAAGTTTTTTTCCCAAACATAACAATTCAATTACATGTAGTTATGACTTTATTACATGTAAGGTACTTTTTATACAAGACTAATTTTTCACGAACGTCTATTTAATGTCAACACTGGTCCAAAGACGTACTGTATATAGGGAATTTTTTGCACCCGTTTTATTTCGCCATTTTTGCATTTGTCGTCAGAGGGCGAATTAAAAAGGGACGAATTCAACTGATTCAGGGTTAGTTATCTTATAAGTATAGCTTTTTCATAAAGCTTTGCCGTCAACAACTATAAACTGTAAACTGACATACACCTATCAGGCCATATTATTTTTGAGTACTGTATTTCTTGGCTTCAACAGCATTCTACATACATTAGCCCAACCATACGAGGGGTGATCAAAAAGTTCGCGAACTAATTGAATTACTTCCTTAAAAGAAATAAAATGAGGTTTCAGTGTTCATTATTTTTTAAAGTGGTCCTCTCCGATTTTATTGCACATCTGACATTGTTCTGCCCATGCGCGAATCACGTGATCCAGGCGGTCACGTGACATGCTTCGTAGCGATCTGTTCACAGAAGCTGAAAGATTTTTCCGAGTCTTATATTTCTTACCTTGCAAGTAATCTTTTATAACAAGCACAGACCATCTGTCAGAAATGGCCAAATCTCGCCAATAGGGTGGGTGAATAAGGATATCCCTTCCCAGAATTAGCATGGTGGCCATCACAACCCGAGTTCTCTGTCTCGGGAGCGTCGTTTATCCAATGTGAAAAATGTATGGGCGCCTTCTTTTTTTCATATTTCATATGTTTAAAGTCTAAAGTAAACGATATTTTAGGGATTTATTAATTATATTATTGCTCAGATATTCAACTATTTTTCTTACTGTAACTTGGCGACCTTTCAAAACAAATTGCTCATTTAAGGACACATCTTTTAACCGGCTTGCTTTTACTAGGCAACAGAATAAACATAATTTTTAATCATCTCCCTGCCTTCACTAAAACATTTGATCCAATTAATAATTGAACTTCTGGTAAGTATTTTGTCTTCATAAACCTTGTACAAATTATCATATTATACCACAAAGGAATTTCCGAGATATACGTTAAACTTTACAGCCGTTCATTGCTCGAGTACGACCGAGTCAACCATTTTTTGTCACAAGTGACCTACATACTGACGTCATTTTAACATTGTGACGTCATAAACACGGAGCAAAACATTATTTAACATCTGCTATTTATAGAACATGTGTTTGTTTATATGTGTGCCAAATTTCATTCTGATCTGAATTGTGGTTTTTTAAATATAGAGATAGTTCGCGAACTTTTTGATCACCCCTCGTATAAACGAAGGACAATAAACACACATTTCAGTGTTTGCATGCAGTAAAAGAACTTTCTGTTAATCATAAAGATATAGAAAAAAACCCTTAATAACAGTCGCTATAAAAAAAAATTAAGTGTCAGTTTCATTTACTGCAATTTCCTTTTATTCGTTTTGTCGATTTTTTTTTAACGTTTAAAAATGAAGAAAAATTGTTCAGTCGTGCGAAAATTAATTCACCAGAATATTATCTCCCTTGCACAGCATTTCAACCAATGAATAATTGAAAATTTCAACATCATGCGTTTTGAAGAGAGGAAGTACATAGTCCGAAGACTCTAAAGTACTTCAGCTCTGTATACCGTCTTCCAAGGAAGAGGGTAATAACTGAATTAAAATTGGGGCGAAAGAAAGGGCTAAAATAACACGGGGCAAAAATAGCCCTGTATACAGTTTATATAGACCGTCACAATAATTATCCTCTCGGTGTATGTACAAACACACTGCCACGTATCAACAGAACTGAATAAGGAATAAGGTTGGGTTGGGGTGGTCTCGTGAAATGTGTCTGTCACATCTACACATGTTGCTCTATCATCGCTGAGAAATGTCACGTTTCTGTCTAGAAACACAGATCCGCGTTTTCTAGGGGGGGGGGGTGTAAAAGATCACTTTTAGTTGGTTTAATATATTAGTATATACATTATTTAATAACTCTGCAAACTCCACCAAAAAAGGGGGTAAAATTCTCTAGATTTTAAGTAGTTTTTTTTTTTTTTATCAAAGACTATTCATTAGCTATATAATAATATGAAGTGTTGCTGTTCTGGAGAGGTACCAGAGTCCATGAAAAAAAGTTCTATATAGTCTTTGGCCTGAAATTGCCAACACTAAATAATATCGTCCTGCGCGGATCTGGGGGGGGGGGGGGTTCGGACCCCCCCCCCCCTGGAATTTGAGCTTTGGGCTTTTTTTTCTCTATATACTAGTATTCCAATGAATTTTTTTTTACGATAAGATTGGCACCATCCTTCCCATTTGGACCATGATTTGAACGAATTACAATAGGTTTGATTAAATATATCAAAGTCACTAATTGTGGAAGATTTTTACAGATCTTCCATGCATATTTCCTAGTTTAATTTGTCGCCTAAGTTCACTTGAGCCTTTCCAGGTGAGCTTAAAAGTCCTATATATGAAAAAATAAGAAGTTTGACCATTTTTAGATTCCATTCTCAATTTTTTTTTTACATGGTTCAAATATGAATTATTTATTTCCAGGCTTAAAAAAAAACAACTCCTCCCCCCCCCCCCAAAAAAAAAACAGTAATCCGTGGATAATCCTCTAATAAATAATCAAAGGAGTTCTTACCATTGACTTCGAATGATTCGATGATACAGGTTGTGACATACGATGATACAGGTTGTGACATACGATGATACAGGTTGTGACATACGATGATACAGGTTGTGACATACGGATCTCTCAGGTACAGAGTACAGTTTTTAACATACTGCCTGTAGAGGTCTATTTTGTCGTTCTCTTCGTCAGATGCGGTAGGGTGTTGGACGTACCAGGCCGCCCTCGCCATAATTTTAATCTTTGTTTGACAATCTCCATCCGTTTTTGAGTCAACACATTGGTAGCAGTATTTTGTCATTCCTAAAAAGTGTTTCCAACTCACAAAATTTCTTTAGAATTTAAAAATTGTCAGTCATTTCATACTTATAGTCGTGTAATACGCGTCAATATTTTGGCTGAATTAAGTCATAAGTGTACAAATACTCAATGTATTTTTACTTTTAAAGGCATACTTTACTTGTTTTATAATCTCTTAACTTGTGGTAATAAAACTAATTTTACAAATTATGATTTCTTACCATAGACAAAATACACTTGTCCAGCAAATATTAGGTACAATATAACTGTCTGTCTTTGCGCCATTGTCCAATGTATCTGTCTCTAAGTGAAGTCTTCCTGGTTTGTGCGTATTGTAACAGTTTCATTATTGACTCTGAACTCAAGCGTAGCCATGAGTATAAAGGAGCCAGGGAACAAGAATTCAACTAGTATCATTTAACCATCTGATGTTTTTGATAAAATAAATTCTGACAGATGCAGAACGATGTGTATCGTTATGACATTTACACCTGTACATGTATTGTTGTCACCGGCGACAGCATGAGTCTACATTCCCAGTAAATAATATCGTCCATCAGTACATAATATCAAATTGCTGTTTTTAAGTTTCTGCTTTCCATCATTACATTAATTTCAACAAAACTAA